ATTATTCAACTGTAAAACAATGAAAGAAATGTCTTACGCATAACATAAATTCCGATATCTCTTCCATTAATTGTGTTTATTTGTCGTGAATGTGATATTTTTAGAAAATAGTTTCTCACAGTTAAATCTAAATTATTATTTAAACGAACATAACTATTGTATTCGTATATATACTATACATAAATAATTAAGAAATAACTTTTCCAAGTAAAAGAATTTGAAAAGTTATATTAACAGATCATGCAATGAGAATTTGTAGTAAAGTTGATACAGAAACTATGAAAAATGTGTGCGTTTTAAAATGAAATGATTGGAAATATTATTACTACATAGTTTAGAAATTTTGAGCTGTTGAAGCATAATCTTGTTTATATCAAGTTGAACTGCATCTTAATAATTAAGTTAAATCGCACCATTGGGAGAATTAATACTTTTTGAAATTGATTACATGATAATATGGTTTAATCAACGGAAACAAGATTTAACTTGATACCTTATTAGACCAAATAAGTACGATGTAAGGTATTGTGGTTAAAGTACTTATTTTAAAGGTAATGTTGGTCATCGGACCAATTGTTTTTAGTGCAGATTTGTAGAATCAACACTACTTAGAGTAATTAATATTTAAAAAAATAGTTGAGAACTGGAGAAAACAAAAAAAAAATTATTGTTTTTGCAATATTGTTTTTAATTGTTTTTGCAATACATCACGGTAATTCTGGTAAAATTACCGTGATGTATTGCAAAAACATTTCGGCTTTAAAAAAAAACAAAACAATTCTGGTATTAAAAACCTAACTTTACAGTATTTAAACCATTAATCAAGTAAGTTTTCCTTTCATATGTTAACACGTCACTGGGAATTCTGGTTTTCAAAATTATAGTTCTTATTACCATACATTTAGTAGACATGCATATTAAACCGAATAAATGCTTTTTATGCTATGCTATAAGTCATCATGATAAAATGACTAAATCTTACAAAATTTTATCACATCACATAAAAGTATATTTTATTCTTAATTTTCCCAAAATAATTTCCAGAGAGCTTTGGTAAAAAATTTCCGAACTTTTTGGGATTCTCAATGAGTCAGAATTACGGTAAATTTTACCATACTTTCTAAGTGTAAATAGCTTTATGTAATTTTTGCAGTTGTTTTACATTATGTTACCAAATTATGGAACCAAAATTGAAAGATAAAACCAAGATTAAAAAGAAAAAAAATATGACAAATAAAAAGTAATTAAATTTTCCTATTCAAAGAAAATTTTAAGTAAATAAATCAAACAAATATATGAATAACATAATTTGCATGAATAAATTCACTAACATTGTACTTTTATCTTACTTCATTTATTAATTTAGTCCGGAAAGTAAGAAAAGTTTCATTTATTTCATGAATACCTAAATTAGCTAACCATACTTTTAAAAATAATGAAGAAACAAATTTTTAAAGCATAAATTTTTCTCGTGATGTACGAAACACGGATTAAAATGGTTACATAAGTAAAACATTACTTACAAAATTAGAAAAGTTGTTTTCGTCAGTTTTGCTCTTAAAATATAGCTTTTCATTGTTGGAAATGTAGCACATCTAATTCTACGATGTTTACTCAAATAAACAGCTTTTCATGGTATATAAGGGATTATATACAAATCTCAAAAGAGAAAAAAAATATAGAAATGATAGATATCACTTAGAAGACATTAACCAAAGTTTATGAAAATAAATTGAAATTGAGCAAAAATAATGTATAATAAAATTGAAGCTTTATGAAGCATATTAAAAATGTGGTTATTGATTGGGGTTTTTGGTAGGTTGCTAGGATTATTTTTGCAGTAGATGTACATAAATGATTCATTTTGTTAATATATTTATAACATCAAAAATAAATTTTTTTCATCGAATGAAAAATATAATTTTTTAAAATAATTATTGTTAATAGTAATTCAAATAATTTTTCATTAAGATAATTTTATTGATTAAAAAGAGAAAAACTAAGTTAAGTTGGTTCTTCAATATTATGTATGATTTTAAGTATTATTGCTAATCGCACTGAGAAAAAAAGTATGGTCAAAACTACTAGAATAAAATATGGTTTTGTGGGAACACCAAGCAGCTCGGTAGGTTTTACTGAAGCATTTTGGAAAAATTAATATCATGCATGTGATCAATAATTAGGTGATAAAATTTTTTAAAGGGGGTAAAATTTGGTAGTTTTAACTTGATACCTTAGAGCAGTGTTTCCCAAACTTATGACTTTTGTGTACCCTTTCTAAATTTTCGTAACGCTGTGTACCACTAATAAAAAAATGAATGCATTTTTTACTCTAAAATAATTGCAATAAAGTTAAAAATCACAACTAGCTGTTGACACCATTATTTATTAACTGTTAACTCTCTGCAAAAAATAGCCAATAGAAAAATACGTAATCGTAATTTTTCATAGCTAGCTTTATTCTTAAATAAAATGTTTTGAAATTTTCGTTTGTTGCTAGATATTTCACATAAGACCGCGTACCCCTGCTAAACTGTTACCGTACCCCTGGGGGTACGCGTACCACACTGCCTTAGAGCATGGCATAAAAACCATCAATTCGGTTAAATTTATTTTTAAGTTTTATATTTTTTGTGCAGTAAAACAAGACTTATAATTATGGTAATAAAAACTATAATTTTGCAAACCAGAATGTATGAAAAACCGTTGCCATATAAATTAAAAATTACTAAGTAAATGGTTTAAAATCCGCGTATTTTAGTTTTATTACCAGAATGGGTTTTTTTATAACCAGAAATTACATTACCATGCAGTACGGTAGTTTTAACAATTTATTTCTTCTCCTTGCATATATTTATAGCGTAGTTGATATTGAAGTTACTATAGTGTAGTTGATATGGAAGAAATCATAATATTTTGACTTATGAGAGCAAAGAATTTTCTTGTTAAGAATTATACACTAAATAGAATAGTAAATATGTACAATAACAACCGACAAAAATAACTGTGTGTGCAATAGACTTTTCCATAAATATTTTGTAAGTAACGTTTAAATAAATATTTTGCCTCTGAAACAAAATGTTCCGTAATGATATATGAGCTATTAATCTATTTATACAACAAATAATAAATAATAATAATTTGTATCAATGAAATGATTATCTCCACTAAAATAGGGCAAAGTTTGACCAATTTGAAATATAGATTTTAAACTAACATTTTATAGCTTGATGCTGAATTTCAAATTCCTAAGACAGCGAAATGGTTTGAAAAAAAGGACATGTTATTTAAATATTTACGTTTTTTATACTTATATGCAGTAGATGGAGTTAATTTATTTACTTATCGAGGCTGAAGATGACTATGCATATTATTAAGGAGTTCTCAAAATAAAGGTATCGTTCGTTGTTCAGGGACCGCGAAAGTTAGGATCAACAACCATAAAATAATTATCACTGGTCTCCCAAACCAGCAATCAATGTAAAGGGATAGTATGCTGTTTTATTTGTTTGATTTTTGGTGTAATATTTTGATATGTGTTTTAGTCACAAAATAGCATATTCCATCATAATTGCGACATTACACACATTTTTTGTGTTGTAATTTTTTTAAAATTCATTTTATTAGCTTTTTTTAAAAAAAAATCTAATTGACGCATGTAAACCGATCAGTGAAAAATGTTAACGGACTAGTTTCTAGTCCCTAACCTTTTACTTACGGCTCGTACACCATGTGGACCCACATGTGATAGTACAACATGGTACACCGTAAGCAAAGGGTTAAGAGGCTCTTCCTCTTCCGACTTAATTCTGCTGTCCAAAGAGTGGAGACGGGGAGGGAAAATTCTAAATATGCTTTTAATTCTTTTTGTTTCACTATCACATAAATAAACTGATGATGGATATTTACTCTATTTAGCAGTATTTTCCGATGTTGTTGTTGTCGTCTGCCATTGTGGCAGACAGGGTGCAATTGTTCTTGTTTTCCAGTGGCGCCATCTATGGTCAAGAATTCGACTTTAGTCACACCTGTTTATGAGGCGGACCCATTCATTCAACCACAGATAGTAATTTCCACCTGAACCAGAGAACGATCAATCTCTCCAAAGGTATTGATTTGTTATACGAACACGGAGGGCTTTGTAACCCGACAGATTTAACATGCACCAGTCACCATTTACTAAACGGGGAGTCTTTGGCCTGCTGGATTCGAACTTCCGTTCTGACAAACGAGAGTCCAGCTCCCTGCCAATCAGGCTATCCCGACCAGTATCTTCCGATACATGTAAAATATATGGCTGAGATCCAAGCATAATATTTTAGATACAAAGCATGCGGAATTTCTCTACTAATTTTTTTCTGTCAAAATTATGCAAATACAATTCTGCAATTAACAGTTTCTGATAGGTAGTTAAACAATATTCAATTGTCTGCTTTTAGATTTTTTATAAGAATCTTTGTTTTTATGTAATAAATTTAAGAGAATTTTTTGAAAGTCACCTTAATCGGTTTTCATCATTTTAAACTGTAATTAAATTAGATTTTAAAAGATCTAAAGACTGACAAAAATGTAATTTTAAATTACTTACTAGAAATTTTATTGCTTTAAAAATTTTATAAAAAAATTCATGGATGTTCTAAAAATTATCAAGCTCTATTTCTTATCCAATATAACGACTCCTTTATTTTTCCTGTTTTGAAAGGCATTATACTATCTAATATAAAACGTTAAGTGCGGAAAAATTATCAAGAAAACAAAAATTAAAAATTTAATCCAAAACCAAAGATGGTGATTGTAGAGATCTCATTTCAATATTGTACATCTGAGTATTATTTTCAAATTTTTTTTATTTATTTTTTTACAAATCTCTATAAAACAAATAATTTAAGAAAGTACTTCAGTTTTTATATGTGTTGTTACATGTTTGTAACTAATAAAGAAATATGGTCTAAAACTTTTTAAATGAAAACAATTATATTTAAATAAAACTATATATTCACCTCTGCTTTTTCAGTGGATGTGACTATATTTTTATCTTCAATGTGTCGATATTGGATGTTATCTTCACGATTTCTACGGTGGAAAAATTCTTCACAAATAACTAAACTGATCAGTGAAACGAAAAAAATTAAGAAATATTTCGTCTCAGTCAGAGTCCACAACATTATGCAACTAAGTCCTTTTTCTTGAGTTTAAGGCATCCAAAAGCCTATAAGTTACTCTTTTGATTTGGAAATTTCTTCTCCCTAAGAAAAAGCAAAATCGAATATAATTTTACACACAAATAATAGATTTAATGAAATAAATTTCATTGCGAAGAATAACAAAGAAATTGATTAAGCGATAATTTTTTACAAGTTAGTAATAAATATTAATAGAAATAAGTAACTGTTTTTGCTTAATTGTTTTTCTAAATAACAATCGCATTAAAAAGTTAAAAAAAGTTCTTTGGACAGGTTTTTAAGGAGTTTTAAAGTGGAGTAAAACTTTTGGAGAGAGTTTTGTATATAAAGAATTCACCTTAGAAATGTATGGTTAAAATTTCGAAGCTATAGGAATGCTATATTGCATTTTATGTTCTAAAAATTATTGTTGCTTATAAAAGTTTTCGAACTAAATTTCAAAAATTGAAGTACGTCAACTCTTTCTCTTATAAAATTGAAGTAATAAGTACAAATTTGAATGAAGAATATGGTTAAAATGAAACTTCATCTAAGATCTAATACTAATTTAATCTTACATTTTACTCAAATTTTTATTCTTCAGAAATGCAGATATTACATTTAGGGTATAGTACATTGTAAAAAAAATTAGCGTATCTCAACGCCAAAAATTGTGGCAAGTACTTTACACGTCATACGTAACTCCATACGTAACTATTGAATCTAGTGTTTAACTCCACCAATGTTTATTTATACAACTTAATGTAAAAAAGTCACCACTATTGTTTTTATTCAGTAACATTAAAATTTATAATTACAGTTAAATAAGATACACATAAGAATCAATAAAGTTATTTTTAAAATACAATATAGAGTAAGACTCATTCATTTTGAATGTATACGTAAACTACATCGTTAAATAAAATTAGTTTGTAAATCAAACATACGTGCAACAGAGAAAATATTAAGACGAATTTGAACTAGGTGAAAGTAAATAGAAATTATACATTTTAAAATATACATTATGATACTTTATAAAATATACATAATATAATATATTTATCCGTATTACACAACAATAAACATGCAGACATTTTTGTATATGCTGATGAAGAATTATTAATATTAGAATTATTTCCTTCTCTGTCGTAAGATATTATTGAAAACTCATATCAATGCTTTCCCACGTGCTGAACTACTTTCTCTCGCACCTCTTGAATTCTAACTTGAATATCGTGCGGTAAATATGCTATTCCTCAAATAAGGCAAGGTCATTCACCAATAATTGATATGGCAATATGCGGCACCATACCAGCCGTGTGTGTTGAAAATTTCAATAGCCATTTTAGAAAGCAACAAAATTAAATCTAAGCAATTAATACACCACTGAATAAGTCTCCAGTCCGACGCATAAATGCCCACATCACTAACAGAACCATATGATTTCTAGATATTAGCAATTTTTCAACGATAACTGTAAAAATTTCATGACATTCTGATTATTAGTTTAGAGGTTACAAGTGCTTTTAGTGACCCTAGTTTTGTAACTTTTAAAACAATGGATAAATAAGAATGTCGGATATAAATTTTTTTCTCTCACTATTTTATGGAGACTCTCGAATTTGAAGAAGAGCCTCAGAGCTCAAATAAATCTTGCTAGGCTAAATTTAGCCTTACCTATTGAAACGCAGTGCTATAAGCGAAAGCAGAGAGCACGCCGCACTTTACTATACTCATTACTCAATAGGAATGTCATGCTTCGATTAAGCGTTGTTTTTGATGGGGAAAATGCTGCTGAAGTAAAATAGTGGCTTCATAAGTGTTATGGAGATTCTGCACCAGGGAAATCACCGATTATTGACACATTGACTGGTATGCAGAATTTATAAGCGGTCGTAAAGACACTGATGGTGCTGAGAGCTCAGGTCATACAAACCATTGTTCCAGAAAATATCAAAAAATAGTTATGTAAGGCCATAAAGTAAAGTTGCGTGAGATAGCTGACACCTTAAGGAAATCAGAAGGTAGTGTGTCTACAATTTTACATAAAAATGTGAGCATGCGCAAGTTGCTTTCGAAATGGGTGCCACGTTTACTCACACCGAACCAACCTGTCGACGATTCAGAACGCTGTTTGGAACTTTTAAAGCGAGATAAAAAAAAAAGAGGGGGATTTCTGTTATCGGTATGTGATAATGGATGAAGCATGGATCAACTTCTACACTCCTAAATGAAAAGAGATTTTCAGCTGAGTGGTCAGCAGCTGGTGACAGTCGTCCAAAGTGACCAAAAACTCAGAAGTCAGCTGGCAAGGTAATGGCCTCCGTATTTTGGGACGTGCATGTTATTTTGCTTATCGACTATCTTGAAAAAGATAAAACTATCAATAACGAATATTACATGACATTATTGAGTCGAATAAGAAAAAAAAATCAGGAAAAAATGGTCTCACATGCGATGAAACGAAATTCTGCTTTACCAAGACATTGCCCCCCGTTTTAAGACGGTGAAAACAATGGTTAGATTGAATGAGTTACGCTTTGAATTACTTTACCCTCCATACTCTCCAGATCTGCTCCCTAGCGACTACTGGTTCTTTGCAGATCTAAAAAAGATGCTCCTGGGAAAGAAATTTGGCTCAAATGAAAAAGTTATTTTAAAAACAGAGGCCTATTTTGAGAGGCTTAGTTCTACAATAGGGCCATCAGAAAGATAAAAAAGCATAGGAGTGAATGTTGAAGAATAAAATCAAATTTCTAAAAAAAAAATTTTTCTTTAGCTGAACTGGAGACTGATTAAGTGATGTGCTGCTTCGTAACTAAGTTTTTATGTCTATAAAAATACAAAATTATTCTAAATAAATGCTTAACATGTAATTAATTATTCAACACTACTTAAACTATCTAATAAAATGAATCTGAATAAATAATTATTTTACAACTAATTATTTTACACTATTTAAGTTATTACTCACAATTATAAGAATAATTATTATGGATAAATATAGTTCTGCCAATTTAGATAGAAATGTCCCCGTTTTTGGTGCCCGTTAGAGAAATAAATTAATAGATAATAATAATAATGAACTTCTAGAAAGATAATGTCCATCTTTTTTCTTATTTAAAGTAAATAAAATTGCCGAATAGAAAAAAGATCAAGTGAAAGAATAAAGATATATATATTTTTTCGAATCTCATTGATGAATGATCAGGAATCATCTCTAACCCTTTTGAAATCTGACACCTAGAACAATCCATTAGACAGGAGCATGTGCAATTTTACTATATATATGTTTAGGTAAGCCATAGTTTTCCAATATTCCTGAAGTGATATGTCTTAACGCTGAACCAAATCTGAGCTTAATACAGCTATCAATGCTCAACTTCGTAGTCTTGTAATTTTGAACCCAACCCGGAAGACAAGGAAACTCCTGGATTTGAGCCTTCGTGGAAGTTTTTTTGATTGAACTAACCAGCATTTGCGTTATGTTGAGAGGAAAACCACAAAACCTCCTGCTATTTGTCTGACAGCGAGGGAACTATAACCCGTGATCAGTCAACCACTTGGGATATTTCACATAGTGTGGTCGGTGCGAGCCGGGTGCAGAATTCATATCGACAAGCCATCGCTAGGAATCGAGCCTAGGTTACAAAATTGGGAGACGAGTGCTCTATCTCCTGAGCCACCTCAGCTGAACTCTTGTGAACATGATATCAATATTTTCCCATTAGTTACTTAGATGCTTTAACTATGGTTTTATTCCATTTTTCTTTTAAGCATTATTATTAAGCATGCAAGTTGAAAATTAACATACATTTCTTTGTTACTAATTGTAAATTCAAATTTTGCTTTAAGTTTGGATAAATCTGATGTTTACAATATTAGTCTACATTTGACTGAGTTTGGATCGGTGACAAATTTTTATGTATAAATATGGTGCAGCAAATTAACTCAGAAAGTTGCGCTACCGGGTCCAACAGCAAATTATAAATTAAGAAATGAAACTTACTACTAAAACCGAATTCCATATCGGTATAGTGATAAACTACAGTATAATTAAGCGTATTCTCTATGACATATATAGTTGTTTTCAAAACCAGAAGCAATTTAAAAATGCAACGAAACTTTCAACTAAAATAATTTTTTTTCTAAGGTAGTGAGTTACATAATTAAACGAAATCATTTTCAATAACTGATAAGCTATTATTCACGTGCCAAAAGTAAAGTCATTTTCAGAACAATATTGTTTTAACAAAAAAAGTGACTTTATACTTACTGAAGAACCAATATTTCGAACTCGAAGTCATAAGATTTTATTCAAAGTATTCGTCATGAAAATTAAGTTCAATTTGAAAGTTTCTAAAGGTATTTTGATCTTTAAATTTACGATAAAATTTATCATAGAAAACACCACTCTCTGATACACGTGGCTAGTAAGTCGGCAAATGGCCCATCATCGTAGAAAAGATTCTTTTTAAACTTTAGCAATAAATAAAATACATATCAAAACCAACCCTACATAATCAGTGATAGATGCTTGTTGTCTCACTAATTATTTATCCACAGACATTATAAATCATTTCTCGAAATACCCTTTAATTAGTGTGTAATTAAAAGAGCCGAGTTGAGTTGTCAGGCCACACACATGCCTAAGATGATGGGTTTATTTTCATACATGTTCTCGAGAATTTTATTACCGATTGCACTCCATTCGATTTTCTTTTCTGCACATATAATTATTATCATAGTTGTTTTCCTTTGAAATTTTTATCTCAAAAATGTGTTAAATGTTTTAAAAGCAAAAGAGTTTTGAATACCGACTTTTTTAGCTCACGCTGCAAAAAACATTCTGGTAAAATTACCATAATTCTTAGTGATGCCATTTCAGGTAAAAAGAAAAACCCATAATTCTGGAATTAAATATACAGTATTTAAACCATTCATTTGGCAATTTTTCTATTTATATAGTAATGGTTTACTGGAAATTCTGGTTTTCAAAATTACAGTTCTTTTTATCACATATTTAATTAAAAGTACAAAACTGAAAGAAATTTTTTTTTAACGGAATAAATGTTTTTATGCTA